ATTGGCTGAATAATTAAGGGCGCTCTCTCAGCGGGGCACCCAGGAGATGAGGACAGATCCTGGACGACGTCATCTCGTGCTTGGCTCTGCCTGTCTTTGGAGCTCCTTCGACCCTCGACCGTTCCTTACCGGGAACAATCGATCTCCTCGTTCTGCTTCAGCCAGGGGGCCACGGTCATTAGCACATGAGCCAGAGGAAGCGACGTCAGTGCCAGGACATTGGCTGAATAATTAAGGGTGCTCTCTCAGCGGGGCACCCAGGAGATGAGGACAGATCCTGGACGACGTCATCTCGTGCTTGGCTCTGCCTGTCTCTGGAGCTCCATCGACCCTCGACCGTTCCTTACCGGGAACAATCGATCTCCTCGTTCCGCTTCAGCCGGGGGACCACGGTCATTAGCATATGAGCCAGAGGAAGCCAGTGACGTCAGTGCCAGGACATTGGCTGAATAATTAAGGGCGCTCTCTCAGCAGGGCACCCAGGAGACGAAGACAGATCCTGGACGACGTCATCTTGTGCTTGGCTCTGCCTGTCTTTGGAGCTCCTTCGACCCTCGACCGTTCCTTACCGGGAACAATCCATCTTCTCGTACCGCTTCAGCCGGGGGGCCACGGTCATTAGCATATGAGCCAGAGGAAGCGACGTCAGTGCCAGGACATTGGCTGAATAATTAAGGGCGCTCTCTCAGCGGGGCACCCAGGAGACGAAGACAGATCCTGGACGACGTCATCTCGTGCTTGGCTCTGCCTGTCTCTGGAGCTCCTTCGACCCTCGACCGTTCCTTACCGGGAACAATTGATCTCCTCGTTCCGCTTCAGCCGGGGGGCCACGGTCATTAGCACATGAGCCAGAGGAAGCCAGTGACGTCAGTGCCAGGACATTGGCTGAATAATTAAGGGCGCTCTCTCAGCAGGGCACCCAGGACATGAGGAAAGATCCTGGATGACGTCATCTCGTGCTTGGCTCTGCCTGTCTCTGGAGCTCCTTCGACCCTCGACCGTTCCTTACTGGGAACAATCCATCTCCTCGTTCCACTTCAGCCGGGGGGCCACGGTCATTAGCACATGAGCCAGAGGAAGCGATGTCAGTGCCAGGACATTGGCTGAATAATTAAGGGCACTCTCTCAGCGGGGCACCCAGGAGATGAGGACAGATCCTAGACGACGTCATCTCGTGCTTGGCTCTGCCTGTCTTTGGAGCTCCTTCGACCCTCGACCGTTCGTTACCGGGAACAATCGATCTCCTCGTTCCGCTTCAGCCAGGGGGCCACGGTCATTAGCACATGAGCCAGAGGAAGCCAGTGACGTCAGTGCCAGGACATTGGCTGAATAATTAAGGGCGCTCTCTCAGCGGGGGACCCAGGAGACGAAGACAGATCCTGGACGACGTCATCTCGTGCTTGGCTCTGCCTGTCTCTGGAGCTCCATCGACCCTCGACCGTTCCTTACCGGGAACAATCGATCTCCTCGTTCCGCTTCAGCCGGGGGGCCACGGTCATTAGCACATGAGCCAGAGGAAGCGACGTCAGTGCCAGGACATTGGCTGAATAATTAAGGGCGCTCTCTCAGCGGGGCACCCAGGAGATGAGGACAGATCCTGGACGACGTCATCTCGTGCTTGGCTCTGCCTGTCTCTGGAGCTCCTTCGACCCTCGACCGTTCCTTACCGGGAACAATCGATCTCCTCGTTCCGCTTCAGCCGGGGGGCCACGGTCATTAGCACATGGGCCAGAGGAAGCGACGTCAGTGCCAGGACATTGGCTGAATAATTAAGGGCGCTCTCTCAGCGGGGCACCCAGGAGATGAGGACAGATCCTGGACGACGTCATCTCGTGCTTGGCTCTGCCTGTCTCTGGAGCCCCTTCGACCCTCGAACGTTCCTTACCGGGAACAATCTATCTCCTCGTTCCGCTTCAGCCGGGGGGCCACGGTCATTAGCACATGAGCCAGAGGAAGCCAGTGACGTCAGTGCCAGGACATTGGCTGAATAATTAAGGGCGCTCTCTCAGCGGGGCACCCAGGAGATGAGGACAGATCCTGGACGACGTCATCTCGTGCTTGGCTCTGCCTGTCTCTGGAGCTCCTTTGACCCTCGACCGTTCCTTACCGGGAACAATCGATCTCCTCGTTCCGCTTCAGCCGGGTGGCCACGGTCATTAGCACATGAGCCAGAGGAAGCGACGTCAGTGCCAGGACATTGGCTGAATAATTAAGGGCGCTCTCTCAGCGGGGCACCCAGGAGATGAGGACAGATCCTGGACGACGTCATCTCATGCTTGGCTCTGCCGGTCTCTGGAGCTCCTTCGACCCTCGACCGTTCGTTACCGGGAACAATCGATCTCCTCGTTCCGCTTGAGCGGGGGCCTTGCTGACGCTCGGCCACCCCCCGTCCGGCCGCCCGTTCAGCCTGCCAGTCACGCTCGCGCTCCCTTGGTTGCCGCTCACAGGTTCGCAGGAGTCCGCGAGCAGATACCTACCGAAACTACGTGTTTCTTTACAAGTCTTGATAGCCAAATTATTTTGACGTGTTGATAATCAAATGTGATGGAGCCAAACACGATTTTCCTTATATGCTAATGAGATGCTTATGGATAGTTCTCTCCCAAGTTTTTAGCTTGGCACATGCATACTACAAATTGACTAGCCTCTGTACTACGTCACCCAAAACAAGCCCAAACTCCCCAGTTAGCACGTTCTCACTTGCCCGGCTAACCCACAGGATCCTCCGGCGTATTTGTCCTTCAGCCGCCCCACCTCCCGCCTTTGAAGGAAGTCTCTGAAAGCCACCTCCCTGGGCGCCGGGTGGGGCCGGCGGGGTGCCTCCAGATCCCGCTCGCCCTCCTGATCAGCTCACAGGAAACTTCTTGGCTTCCTGTGTCGTCTTCCTCTCACTACTGTCCTGTAACATACGGAATCTGACCAGACCCTGCTCCTCCAATTGGCTCAGAAGGCCCCACAGGTACCACACTGTCCGGAAGGTTCCCACACCCCAAACTCTAAGGTGGCCACAAACCCAGACGAACTCATCACCACCCCCGCCTGCCACTTGCTCTCTCAAACTGTATTTCCCAGCTAGCACTGGGCAGAAGGTGGAGTGATTCATTCTTGAAGGAACAAAGAACAGACCCTCACTCTTCCACCCTACCCCTCAAAATGTACTAATTCTTGTTGTTTACAAAATAAGACTTAAGCAGCACTCTGGAGGACTACGTACATGGTAAGATTTATCTTTTATTAGAGATCTTATATTACATATTCCCAAAAAGATATAAAATCTTCCAAGAGAAAAATATCAAAACCTATCTGATTCCAAGATACGCAACATAATCAAAATGAAAGCAAAGATTTTCTTCCAAAGGAATGTGAAAACATTTCGACACAAGTACAACAAAGACATGGGAAGGTAATTAAAATGTTTCACAACACATTTTATAGCATTTTATTTTAATCAGTATTTGAAGAAAACAAGAATGCCGAGTTCTCAAACACTGCAGGTAAAAGCTCAAATTACCAAAAAAAAAAAAAAAAATCACAAGAATGACCTACTCGCTCAACTGAACATCTGCGGTAACAAATGTAATAAAACCCAAGCAAACAAATATGCCACCGAGATCACAACTGAAATGTATGGTTTTTAGGTGTGCCAGAGACACTAAATTAATCAGTTCGTGACCACAACCCAAAGCAAAAGCATCCTCTCCTCATTTCCCTGATGATTTATTCTAAAAATAAAAAGCAGAAATTTGCTGGTTTAAAGAGAATTTCTGCTTTACCTGTGAATGGTGGCAACACACACTAAGACCCTGACTGACATGGGACAGATCCATCTCAAACAACCAGAAGTGGCAAAACCACTGTTATTGCATCAAGATTTTTTATTTCAACTGATCAGAATTTCCACAATGATTAAGCACACCCACTTAACCACAGAACACAGTGAACTCCCAAAGGAAGGTTCTACATTTAAGATGCAATGAAAATACTGATCTTATTCCTGGGATTTGCTTCTGGCAATCTTAACATCTATAGATGTCCACAAAAAGGAAGTGTTTTTTTTTTTCTTTTAGTTGTTTATCCCCCAAAATGAGGAAGGAAACTTACAGTACATGTTTATTGCATGAAATTACTCCCTTATAATATCTTCATCAACACCAGTATTGTTTCCTTAATTATTAAAGGTGAAAAAAACTTATGAACTTAACATAACTTAGCAATAATTGTAGGAGCTGAATCTTGGTAAAAAAAAAAAAAAAAAAAAAAGGATGATCATCAGACTACCTGGTGAAACAGAAATTAGGTTTCAACTTCTCTATAAAGATGCTGGAATGGCAGGAGGTAAAAGGAAGTTTAAAGTCAGAGAATACTAAATTTATTAGGTAACACAAAGAGAATTTTCAAAAGTGTACATACTCAGTGAATCCTTTCTATCCTAAAACTGAATATTCTAAATGTTTCTAATGTTGCTTCAGTGTTAATGTCATGTTAATCATGATCCCAAATAAATTTTATCAAAAGTACTGTAATGGCACATAGGCTTGGAACTTCACTTTGAGGTTAGCACGTACAAAAGTTTGGAATTCACTCAACACACATGTTCTTTAATAAAAGAAATCAGGATGAGCTACCTATAAGTGGATTTCAAAACAGGGTCCCTTTTAAAGCATTCTTTCATAGAGTTACCTCCTGTGAAATGGAAACAGTGTATGGATTTTGCATGTCACAAAATCCTTGCTTCAAGCTGCCATCTTCTTGGCAGCAGCGGATTTTAATGAACAGTACTTTTTCTTCCTTGTTTTGTTTTCTGACATCTCAGTACATTCAAATAGTCAAAATGTTTAGAATAACATCACCACAAATTTAATGAAACAGATCAGAATGTGGCCAGCATTGTCAGGCAAAACCGATAACACTTTACGTGTCATAGAAAGTACCCACCTCCTCCCCACCCCCGCCCTCTCCCCCTTCCTCAGTCATATGGACACCAAAAGATTTAACAAGACTTATAAAAAAATAAGGCACATTTATTTTGATATGGTTATTTTTAAAATAGAAAACCCCTCTCCGAACATCTGTATTCAAATGAGCTGTGCAAAAAGACACCTTGTGGTACCTAAAAGAGGTTATGGTACCTATGGGATTGCTTTTTCTATCTTAGTGACAATGGAATAAATTGCACCTATCCCACATTGTCAAGTAATGAAAATATGCCTCTTTTTCTACTATTGAATGATTCAAAATCTGCTATTTCTGGAAATACAAAGAGTGAGAAGGGAGGGTTCAAGTGGTACATTAGAAAAAGGTGTGAAGGTCAATGATGTACAGATATCATAAGGGTTGATGGATTGCACTTTTCCACATATTTCAATACACAAAATTTTTCGAATGCGTATGAACGATTGCAACCATTTTGGCCATTAGCTATTACCCTTCAGCTTTTTATTCCATTTTGGTAAAAATGGGTATTTTTGTAAAACTAATGAAGGATCAGCAACATGAATACTTATAACAATCTCTTCACAACTCCCGACACAGATATAGTTAGTTAGCATTTAACCTGAGATACAATCTGTGGAGAGGTTGTTTTAGACATTTCTTCCTTCATTGTTGCATCGATTCATACTGATGGTGGTGATTCATGGATGGAACTTAAAGAAAAACTGGCTATAGCATGGCTTTTTTTTTTCTTTCTGTACTAGTAAAAAAAAAAAATAATAATAATAATTATAATAACAATCACAGAATTCATGTCCTCACAGTAGCCAGAAGCTAAAATAATGTGCTTCCTTATTGCACGTCAAACCAAGAAGTGTATAAAAGACAATGCTTCCCAATCCAAATTTGAAAGCCAGGTTCATCTCAACTGGATTCGGAATGTGCTGATTTCCATGGGACTCAAGTTGATCTCACTTATATTTTGGGCGTCTGGAGGTGAATGCATCAAGGATAATGATGAAGGTATGAGACTTGCGACAGTAAACATGCTAAAAAGCTTCGGTACCAAAATCTAGAAAATAAATGATAAAAAAAATTGCACAGTTAGGTCAACTTTGAAGAAAGATTAGTAGCACATCTATATATTTATTCAGTGGAAAATAGTAGGAGAGTAAAACAGTGTATTTGAAGTTTCCTTTTAATGATAAAACGAGGAAGAGGAAGGAGATTAGATACAGCTATGTGTGCCTGGACACACAGACCACCCTGGGAGGGACACCTAGGAGAAGTGTAACCAGGAGAGGACAGCTCACTCTACATTCTTCTTCTGAATTTCTTGAGAACTTATCACGTGCAGGGGCCACTTTTTCAATAAAAGAAAACACATCTATGAGCCAGCAAGCTTTAAAAACATCCGTATCCTCTTACACCCAACATTTACACCTAACAGTTGTCGTTCTTCTTGTTCCCAAAGAGCTGAGAGAAAGGACACAGGCTCCTCATGTCAGTGAGTCCCATTTTCAGGGTTGGGGGGTTGCTGAGAAAGTACTACCCTCATCCCATGTCTCTCTGGACCATATAATCCCCTTAAAACTTGACGCCTTAATGTCTATATACAAATGCTTACAACCAAGTACACTCACATCATCAGTAATAAGGTAAAGCGTAAATATCATGAAAAACAAACCCCAAACCATCAGTGCTTTCTTCGCACCAATTCCACGGAGGGCATGATACGAGAAATGAAGAAGCTTATCTGCCTAAGTGGATTTTGACCCCCTACCATATTGTCTTTTCTCTCCTTTTCAGACCCTATGCACATTCTAGTTGGTAGGGTTGGAAATGAATCTCTTAAGTCTGATCTACAGGTTATCTGTGAGGTTTTGGAGAAGAGCTGGGTCAGCTGAGCTGCCCCGTGGGGCAGACCTGCCTGTGTGCCATCCAGCTGTCTTCTCTGAGCACAACCTGCTCAGAGCCAGAGGCAGAAGGCTGGAGGTTCATTTCCTTCCAAGGAGAGCCTGAGGGAACTATCAGAAAGACCAGCTCAAAGGAGACAGAAAAACTGGGCAGCCGGCAGGTCAGCCTGAAGACCTGTTTGGCTGGCACGGTGAGGACTCCTATGCAAATCTGTCTTGATCAGGAGATCTAGACCCTTATTTCCCCTGGGACAACAACTGACTGGAGCTAAGTAAGGTTGCTTCGGGGCCGTGGTGAAACTCCCCGACTGGCCAGTGTCACCACTTCCCTACCCCACCCCACCCCACCTTTAGTTATTATAAAACCTGCTTTTGCCCCTCTGAGACTTCATGGACCTAGATCCTACATGAGCATGTGTGAGAGAGGAGGGAATATTGGGGGATGGGGGGTGGGGAGAGGATGTTTTGTCGGCTGGCAACGGAAGGCCTAGGAATGGAGGAGAATGTTGCCCCTACACGTGCCCATGTTCCAGACGTGCATTTTGATGCTGACAAGGACAAGAGATCGAAGGTTGAGAAAGTGCTTTCTTAAGATGGAGAGACTTGAGCTAAATTACAGCAGCTGAGGGGAATGAGTCCACGAAGAGGCAATGAAACGTTATCCTATTGTCAGAATGATTAGCAGAAAGCAAGGATTTCAAAGCACATGAAATCAACAAGCAAAAACCACTTTTCAGCTCACCTTTCCCTGGGTTGTGGAACAAAGCAGCCCCGTGTCTCTGCTTGAGAAGCGGCAGTCAAACCCCTTCCTGTGGAGGATCAAGGCTGCCTCATCGGAATGCTTGCCATCCACCTGCAGATGAGCATAGAGTGACAAGACGCCACAGCGACATTAAGGCAAATAGCGACACCACTGTATACTCCACTGTTTTAAAGTCAGTGTCCCCAAACCAAAAATGCTCACTTTATTTAGCAGTGAAGCCAGGAAAATTCATTTCCCCTCCAGTCCCACGTTCACTGTCACACCTGCTACATCCCCTCTACCTCCCCCACAAGGAGGCAGGTGACAATATGTTTTAAGTCACCTCATGCCCTGGTCTCTGGCACAGTCCCCAAGGACCTGCGTGTCCTTTTGTCTACATGCCACATACTGTTTTATCAAAGTTTCTTCAAATAAAGCATTTACTTTTTTTTAATTCAAATTCAATTACTTAACATATAATGTATTACCGGTTTCATATCTAGGTAGAGGTCAGTGATTCATCAGTCTTATATAATACCCAGTGCTCATTACATCACGTGCCCTCCTAAGTGTCTATCACCCAGTTACCCCATTCCTGTAACCCCTCCCCTCCAGCAACCCTCAGTTTGTTCCCTATGATTAAGAGTCTCTTATGGTTTGTCTCCCTCTCTGGTTTTGTCTTGTTTTACTTTTTCCTCCCTTCCCCTATGATCCTGTTTTGTTTCTTAAATTCCACATACGAGTGAGATTATATATGATAATTCTTTCTCTGACTGACTTATTTCGCTTAGCATAATACCCTCTAGTTCCACCCACGTCGTTGCAAAGGGGCAAATAAAGCATTTAATTTTTTATTTATTTGGTTTTTAACATACACACCAGCTGAATAAAGTGTACCTGAATTTAGTCCTTATCTGGTCATTGAATGATGTATCATCCATCTCAAAACTGAAACACACTTCTTTATTGAATGCTAATTTTTGCTAACTGCATTAACATTTTTAATCTTTAATGCACTGGTTCATTATTTTTATATAAAAGACATTTAAATTGAGTTAGTTATGCTTATCACTTGCTAGGCCAACCACATTTATTAGCTTGATGTATCATTTAAATTCACATTACAGAAGCTATTCTTCTTGTGCAAAGAGAAAAATACTAAACATGACAAGTCAGCTACAGGGATCAATATAAACTTTCTTGCAGTAAAATTTCTTGCATCCATTTAAGTAAAGATGCCAGGAGTGCTCTGAATATTTTAAGTTACAATTCTCTTAATAAATTTTATGTTTCCTCAAGGGGGGAGACGCTTCTGATAATAAGCAAAATAAATTAAGAATCCTTGGACGGATTAAGAAAGGGACAGCTATTCAAAGGAGTTCAGTGTGCTCAGCACTGACCTGTGATGAAAATGATCCCTTTTTCTCCTCTGTGGCCACAGATACGAATATGTCCAAGTTCTTAATCATCTTCACTGGGGGATATGATTTTTAAATGTGCCACAGAGACATCTTTTCTGAGGAGGAGCTGTCAGCATTCTCACCACTGATTTGACTTTAATGTGCCTCAACAATTTAAAGCTGGCCTCACCTCGGATTCTTGGCTGGAATAACCTGCTTTATGATATTTCACACTTGTATTCTGCAGTGGTACTGCTAAGATTTTGTTTGAAGGGAGAGGAAAAAGTCATTTAAGGAATTCTGAGTCATCACAGGACCAACATGATAAACATAGCAAGTTTAAATCATATGACAATGTTTTCTAATAAAATTTCAAGGTGGGGCGCCTGGGTGGCTCAGTTGGTTAAGCGACTGCCTTCGGCTCAGGTCATGATCCTGGAGTCCCTGGATCGAGTCCCGCATCAGGCTCCCTGCTCAGCGGGGGGTCTGCTTCCCCCTCTGCCCTCTTCCCTCTCGTGCTCTCTGTCTCTCATTCTCTCTCTCAAATAAATAAATAAAATCTTAAAAAAAAAATAAAAAAATAAAAAAATAAAATTTCAAGGTGTTTCACACAGTCCCAAAAGAGCATGAAAAGAGCACAGTAAAAAAAAAAAAAAAAAAAAAATCCTTCATTTATGACATACATAAGGTCTCCAGAAGGGCAAGGACAAGTCTCTCGTGTGCTAAGTGTATAGGCTTGGAATAGTTACTGATCACCTAAGCATCAGTTTCTTTGCCTATAAAATGGACCTAATGCAGGTTTCCCCTCTTCATGGAGTCATGGCGTCTAGTAAGACGTTGAAAATACGAGGTATGGTGGCTTAGCTTATAGGACAGAATGTGTTGGTGTAGAAGCTACAGAAAATGGATCAGAACCTGGGCTGGGAGTCAGGCAGCTCGACATCTAGATCCTAGCTCTGCAATTTCCTAGATGCTTTTAGCAAAACCTGGTTTCTCCTGTAGCATAAAATGGAGATGAAATTCAATTGTGTAACAGAGACTCAGCCCAGTGTCTGCAGCAGAGGAAGCCCTTGGTACATTTTAGCCATTATTCTTTCTGTCATTGTAATCTATCAGATAAGTACTGGTGATTATTTTCCCAATAGCTCACTTAATTTTTTATTCACAAATTTTCTTTAGTGACATTATAACTCTGTAGCTGAGGAATCAGAGACCCTCCAAACTGTATGTCAACAATTATGCATCAAAATCATAACATAACAAAATCATGACTAAGTCCCAATTCAGATTCACTATTTACATGGTCTATTGATGAGGCTCTTTTAAAAGCACTTATCATTATAACCTGAAGCATTTAGCCATTTTAACTCACTAAACCATCCTTACAAAACCACCAGACAGCAGGCTTTGTGAAAATTCCTGCAACACATCTGCTCTTGAAATAATGAATGTGTGAGGCCTTTACCAGACTGGAGGTGATAATAAAAAAAAAAAGCAAAAGGAAGCATCTTTGGAATTTTGCCATTAGTTTTACAAGAGATTTAAACAATGCAAAAGTAGAAATTGAAGTCATAAAGAGTAATTTTCACTGATGGAAAAATGTTACACTTTCTCTAAAAACCAAAACTGCATCACTTTCGTAAGGACCAGAACACCAACTGAAATAGCAATCATCTTGTCCAAGTTTTTAAAACTTAAATATTCATGAAAGTATCAGTTTTCAAGCAAAAATACCTGAGGCAAAGCAGCAGTTTTTCAGTTTCAAAGTCTGTCTCGTCATTTTATTTCCAAGAAAACTGTTTTTCAAAGTAGGGAAACTGTGAATTTAACTTGAATATGCATGCAAGAAAACAGATACCTTCACAAAAAAGATGCTGTTCACTCGAGGAGAGTAAACAGACTCTGAAAGACCTGTTTTTATATTCATTAATGTATGAGTAGTATCCGGACCTCAGATCACATTTGAGACTGAATCCCCTCGGGAAGGCCTGGGTGTTCCGAAGTCACTTGGAGAATCCACCGCAGAACTTACTTCCAGGGGATAAAGCAACCTGTGGCTCTGAGGCTAAGCAGGGCCCGGGAGGTTTCTCTGGCAACGGGGTGGGGTGGGGGGGCACGGAAGATGGTGCGGCTGGCAGAACGACGCCATCAAGGCTAGAAGAAGCTGGACTGGGGGCAAAACACACGAACCAGTCCTGTGTCTGCAGATACGTCATTTAACCTCTCAGAACTCAGAAAACTCGGGAGACTCGTGAAGCGCCCCTCTGAGGATCAAGTCCCAACCACAGTGACAGTAACAGTAATCACAGCTAACACTTTTTGAGCACTTGCCGTGTGTGGGACCCTGTACAGAATACTTCTCATGGAAGAACTCAATTCATCTCATAACAGCCTTTGAAACAGTGGAGGTGGTATACAAGTTTGTATTATTATATTTAAGTGCACATGAACATCGCAATCATGAAGCATGCCTTCTCATAGTCAACTAGCAATAATCACTGACCGACCCTACATTAGTCCCTCATGACCTTTCCCACAGATGGTGGATCCTTCTGAGGGTGTCCCATCATAACTGAGTGGTCAAGAGAAAAACAGGCAGAGTATTCCCTAACATTTTCAGCACTCTCACTCCCCTTTGTTTCCATACAAGAGGAGTAGAAGGTTCTGGGCGGGGATCTGGAGTCAACATGCTGGGGTGCGCCTCTCAGCACACCATTTACTGGCTGCATGACCTGGGAAAGCTATCTACCATCTTTAGGTCAGCTAGTTTCCTCTTCTGTAACAGGGGGGCACAATATTGCCTACCTTCACAGTACTGCTGGGAGAGCTAAATAAGGCTCTCTTTACAAAGAAAACACTCAGCATAATGCCCGGCACACAATTTTAGGTATCTTATTAACTTTTCAAAAATTATATACGGAATACAAGTCAAGGTGACATCGAGATTTACTTTGGGAATAAAATTCAACCTCCAATTTATAAAAAAAAAAAAGTGCCTACATTTTATTTCATTTTTAGCAACAATCACCACTGCTCATGACTGAACTCTCACTGTTGACAACCTTCATTCGTCACGCACTCAGTGCTTAGTACGTGCCAGATACTGTTCTAAGTGCTCTACAAACATTAACTCATTTGATCCCTAGGACACCTCTGAGGTGTGTCCTGTTATCATGGCCACGTTGCGAATGAGGCAAATGGGAGAATGAGGGGCTGTGTGCTAAGCAAACTGGCCGGTAAGCACAGGTGATGCGCTCAAACAAAGGCAGCGGGACTCCAAAGGGCTCTACCAGCTTCGCCCCCCTGCCTTCGCACTAGCTATGGACTGGCGCTCAAGGACACCCGCTAGGAGGGGAAAGAAAAAGATCACTTTTAATGTAACAGAAGAAAAGGCTATAACCCGAAGGAGCTCACTCTCTGATCTGAGCTTAGAAAAAGGGAGTATTTAATCCAAGGTTCCAGCAGCCTAAAACCACGACTTATCAGAACATACATTAGTTGAGAAAGGAAGGCATGGACACTGTCATTTCCACCCACCCGCCCCATTTTAAATGGGATTTAAAGCCATTCTGAAAATCATATATGCACACGGCAGTGTCTCATAAGCAGAGCAGCAGGCAAGTGTCCCTCCATCGACATGGGTGAGAACCCAGAAGAGAGAGCTGTGGCCATCCCGTCTCACACCAAAAGAAATCTGACTTGCTCATTAAT